GGAGGGGTGCGGAGGCTATCCCGATATTGGCTCCCGCGCGCCGCGGGACGGAGGAGCCACGCCTCGAGGGGGTGGAGGGGTGCGGAGGCTATCCCGATATTGGCTCCCGCGGCTCCCGCGCACGGCTGGGACGGAGGAGCCACGCCTGGGGGGATGGGGGGGTGCGGAGGCTATCCCGATATTGGCTCCCGCGCGCCGCGGGACGGAGGAGCCACGCCTGCCGGCCCTCTTGCAGCCAATGCGGGAGGGGCTGAGGCCCGGGAGGCGGAGTCCGTCGGGGAAACGAAACAAGAGGGAATGGGCCTGGTCTGGTCACTCTGACAGTGAGCTGCGGCGGCGGCGGCGGGGTGGGGGGACCCGGATCGCAGAGCCAGCACCCGAAGCGCAGTTCGAATCCTAAGCCGGAGCGCGGGCCACTGTCCAGATCCAGGAACGCGGTAGGACCTGAGGGCTACTTTCCCACTCTTCCTGGACAGCGGTGGGGGGGAGGAGGGGCAAGGCGAGGGCAAGGGACCTAGAAGGAAAGTGACATGCCCGATGGCCTGAAGATCTGGAGGGAGATCTGGAAGCCCGAATGACCCGGAGACTGGGTTAACACCAGGCAAAGACTTGGGGCTGCACAGTTTGATGGTCTTCCAGTTGGCGGGCCCCAGGGTCAGCCCGGTCCCGCTCCGTACTCCACCTCTCCACCTTGCTTTTCTCCATGTACCTACCGAGTTTCCTTAAAGTCTGAACCCGATGCTTGCTTTCCGGCTAAGACTTCCGCCACACGAACCCCTACGGTCACGCAAAGCCCCACCCCCACCTCCACCCCCACTCCCATCCCTCTACCCCCCCGCCGCCCCCCACTCCCCCACCTCCCCAACTCCACCCCCTGCTTGACCACCACTTTCAAACTTCCTTGGTACTTCTGGGCCACAGCCAAGTACCCTTCAGCTCCTGGGCCTTTATGGTGCCTTGGCCTACTTCCTGGAAAGCCCTGCCCCCCCACCCCCACCCCAAGTCATTGCCATGGGCAGGCAGATCCCTCTGCATGCCTGATCCTTCTCACAGAGTCAACTGTATGAGCCACTTTCCCTGAGCAAAAAACCACACTCTGCCCTCTTTGCCCCACCCCGTACTTTTGTACCACGATTTGTCTGTATCCTTCCTACCAGTAAGATCCCAAGAGCAGTTTTGACCCGCTTGTCTAATCCTAGCCCCTGTATGTTAAATGGATGCTAATTCACAAATACCCTTGAATTCTAGACAAATGGGATTTTCTGTTGCATGTTTAGTACTCAAAGTGCCTTGCCTCCCAGAAACTAAAGACACTCTCCAGGCAGGGCTAAAAAGACACTGCCCAGGGCCTTAGCATCTTGTGCAGATTGTGCTGGCCTTCTTCGGGTTGCGCTGTGAACCTGACAGAGCCCGGAACACTGTTTGCGGCTTGCTCGTTTGTGTATCAGATAGGAGTTGAATGCGTGTGGTCTGGGAAGCGGCTGCTGGAAGGGTCACAGGCTTCTGGGGGTCCGATAGTCTGCAGGGAGTGTGGGACTAGTGTCTTTGGACGTAGGCGGGACAGGCAGGTGGCATGTGATGGACAGTTCTTTGAGTGAGTGAATACCAGCTCTAACTGCTTCCTGGTGAGCTCACCCATAAGTTTATTGAGCAGTCCAGGCTGCGGTGAGGGTTGTGAGGCGGGATGATCCTAGATGCCCTTGCAGCATCAAAGAAGGCCAGGCCCATCCTGACAGGTGAATAAAAATTGCCTAGTAGACAGAGGGCTCCGATTCATAGGAGTGTGGATTGGGGAGGTACCTTGGTGTTCATTCCCTGATGGATTCATTCATTCATTCATTTGTATCAAGCCCCTATCATTTTTCAGTTATTTATTTATTTATTTATTTATTTATTTTTGGTTTTTCGAGACAGGGTTTCTCTTGTGTAGCTTTGCGCCTTTCCTGGAACTCACTTGGTAGCCCAGGCTGGCCTCGAACTCACAGAGATCCGCCTGCTTCTGCCTCCCGAGTGCTGGGATTAAAGGCGTGCGCCACCACCGCCCGGCCAATTTTTTTAAATAATGTATTTACTTTTTATTTTTAATGATCTATGTATCTGTGTGGGGGTATGTACATGTGAATTCAGATTCCTTGGAGGCCAGAGAAGGCATTAGATCCCCTGAAGCCAGAATTACCAGGAGTCTATGAGCTGCTTGACATGGGTTGCTGAGAACCAAACTTGGATTCTCCGGAAGAGCAGCCATGATCTTAACTGCTGGGTCACCTCTCCAGCTGTACAGTTATTGATTTAAATTTAGTCCTTTAGTGTGTTGCGTGCGTGCGTGCGTGCGTGCGTGCGTGCGTGCGTGTGTACATGTGCCTCAGTAAGCCTGTCACGGTCAGAGGACAACTTGTAGAAGCTGATTCTCCTTCCACCATGTAGGTCTCAGGGATTGGACTCAGATGGTCAGTCTTGGCAGCAAGCTCCTTTTACCTGCTGATCCATCTTGCCAACCCTGGTGAGAGCCATCACGGTGTAGGTAGAATGTAACGCCACAGCCTGGAGGTGATCACCAGGACGGAAGGGAAGTAGGAAATAGGAGACTTGAGGACTGAGCCCCCTGGACAATATTTAGATGAAAAGAAGATGAAGAGGGACCAGGAAAGGAGGCAGAGAAGGCACAGTTTGTGGGAAAGGGTGAGAACCCGGGGAACAGGTGTCTCACAGTCCTAAGCCGAGAAGGGCGAGGAAGGAGATGGAAACGAGTGACCAACATGGATTATTGGATTTGGCAATGAGTAAGCCACTGGAAACATCACAAGAGCAGTCTTGGTGGCTTGCAGAGGCTCCAGAATCAGAACGATGCTTTAAGACAGTGGTTCTCAACCTTCTTAACACTGAGACCCTTTAATACAGTTCATCATGTTGTAGTGACCCCTCAACCATAAAATTGTTTCACTGCTACTTTATAACTGTAATTTTGCTGCTGTTAATGAATTTTTTTTGTTGTTTGGTTTTTTCGAGACAGTTTCTCTGTGTAATTTTGGTGCCTATCCTGTACCTTGCTCTCTAGACCAGGCTGGCCTCAAACCCACAGAGATCTGTCTGGTGCTGGGACTAAAGGCCAGCACTGAGCCACTGCTGCCCGGCCGCTGTTAATAAATCTTAATGTAAATATCTGATATGCAGCCTCTGTGAAAGGTTTGTTCAACCTCCAAAGGGATCTTGAACCACAGGTTGACAACTGCTTCTTTAAAAGATCACAGTGTGAGCCAGGCGGTGGTGGCGCACGCCTTTAATCCCAGCACTCGGGAGGCAGAGGCAGGCGGATCTCTGTGAGTTCGAGGCCAGCCTGGGCTACCAAGTGAGTTC